ATAGCCGTCCCATTGTACTATGAACGTGAGGGAATAGAATAAAGAGTGAAGTTATGCTTGCATATGCACTTGAACACCATAACATAGTCTGTAGGACATTATTATTAATAGTTAAATTTATAAAACAAACATATAAAAAAATCACATTCAATTCGTTCAATATATTCGGTACTTCTATTTGAGATTCACTAAAGAAAAGATAAATCAACAAATATTAAAAAATAAAAACAATAATTAACAAAAAGTTTTTACTTATGGCCTATGGTAATATTTTGATAAAAGTAGTTTTTCTTATAGAATAGAATGACAAACGAGCACACAGCTCATGTGATGGTAAGTGGATGCTGTGGCCAATAGACATTTACATCTATCCTCGATTACGAATCAAAATTCAGATACGTTGTCACCAGTGAGGACTAAGATGAAATGCCACGTTTCCAGTAAAAAGAGTCTCCGGTTCTCTGCACTCACCACACGAAACACAGCAGCATTGAGCTGCTATTTTATGCTGGTATTCTGTGAGAGCGTGGCCAAAACGACCCATTTGCACTACAACTATAAATGTATTTAATTATATACTTAGTTGCAGCGGATCTCTACCGCATACTACCAATATTAAGATTAAGTATACCGTAACATTTGTAATCTATTGTATACATCGCGATCATAACATCTAAGTTAGCTATTATTGTTATCTTATAGCAAACTTTTATACCACATAAGTATTTGATCAGTATCTTTAATTAAATCTGATAAAGTAAACATGAATGGGCCATTAACGAACTTTATGACGTAGGTGATATCCGTATATTGGCTCAAGAAAAATAATAAAGTTTTCTGTCTGTATAAATTTCCCTCGTCGTTGATTTTGAGTCAAGTTTGGCAATTTGGTAGGCGGCAAATTTGGACACGCGCAATAAATATTACTCCTTCCTGGAAGCTGCATGCAATTTATTTTAAACTTTTATTTTTCTTTATTAATACTAAAAAACATCCTTGGTAAAGTCATTTGATGTAAATTTCTTTGGAAATAAATCTTGATGAGAGATTACATTCAATGTAAACCTTCATTGATACGCATGTTATATAATTATTATTAAACGTCGTGACTTTAAATAAAAAACAGTGTTTTTGTACAAATATTTATCCGTATCCAAACATCGATTTATTAACACAATACACCTGACTATTAAGTCAAACACTATCGTCAGCAAATATTCAAACATCAAAATTCATGGTATTCAATCCCAACCGCTTCCTTAACACTTCAGTGTGCGACAGTTAGCCGAAATACTCAATATTATGCGTGCCTACCCGTGTCGTATGATAATAAACGAAGTCCAGACAAACGGAAGGTCAACCGTGTATATTCAAATAGCTCGACTAACCCATATCTCACCTGCGATACCTCCCTTGTATTATTTTAATGCACTCATGCATATTTAGTGGTGTCGTTACGTGAGTCACGAAGCGTATGACGCTTTGAATTATCATTACAATTATTTTTATTTTGTTGTTGTATGTAAGTGAGGACTTTTACATGCTACGATCGAATATCTAACACATACTATAAAATTGCCGATAACACTTTTTTTATAAGGTGACAAACGAGCTCACATTTCACAGGACGGTATATGAATGCTGTGGCCCATAGACATCTAAATTTATTCTCAATTAATAATCAAAATGCAGATTCATTGTCACCCCTGAGGGCTAAGATAGAATGCCTCGTTTCCATTAAAAAAAGACAGTAGTGCAAGTACTACTGCTTCGTGGCACAAAAAGATAAGAGTATTTATAGGATAGGGTGACAAGCGAGCACACCATAGACATCTATATCTGTCCTCGATTACAAATCAAAATGCAGATGCCTAGTCACTCGTGAGGACTAAAATGGAATGCCTCGTTTCCAGTAAAAGGGGTCTCCGGTTACCTACACTTACCATACGAAACACAGCAGCATTAAGCTACTATTTGACGCTGGTATTCTGTGAGAGCGTAGTCCTTCCCCGGTCGAGCCGACTCATTCGTGCTACCACTGTACTACTAATATAACTACAGTATGGCTCCAACACGTTTATAGTTCTAGACAGGAAAGGATTTCTACCAACTATTAGTTGTTTTAGTCTCTAATAGAACTTTTTACTTACTTTTATGCTGCAGCTAGTTAATGGTTGCAGCACGAATGGGACGGCTCGACCCGACAGGGCCACGCTCTCACAGAATACCAGCGTGAAATAGCAGCTTAGTTGTGCTGTATTTCACATGGTGAGCGTAGAGAACTAGAGACCCCTTTTACTGGAAACGAGGCATTCCATCTTAGTCCTCAGTGGTGACAACGCATCTGTATTTTGAATTTTAATCGAGGATAAATGTAGATGTCTGAAACACTGCATTCAGTTACCATCAGGTGGACTTTGTTCTCGTTTGTCACCCTTTTTCTATAAAAGAACTAATGTTTAGTAGTTATAACTAATTTTATATTCTCAACGTTTCGAGCATTTTACAGCACCAATTGTCACGGGGGAACAAATGCGATAAAATTTGTAAAAATTACTTTCTAGAAACTACATATATACATTTACATTGCTGGGATGACTTACTCGTATTTGAAACAGTTTAGAATTATTAAATGATTTTTCGGTATTTTAAATTAAAGAAAACGGTGTTATGCAGAAGAGTATTGCACTTTCACAACGCCGTTTGTATAAGAAAATGTATTTCATTAATTAATTTAAATTTTATAATAATTTACATAAATAATAAAAAGCCTTGGTAGCTAAGAGGCCATTTGCTTGCTGTAAATTTCACTGTACGCGAACAGCCTAGGTTCAATCCTCGCTGGCGCCAATGAAATCGTTAATTGCGATTTTAAATGCTGATTTATTCCGTACTCGGCGGTGAAGGGAAACCTGCAACCTATCTGAGGATTCAAAAAAATATCTATCAAAGTCATGAATTACGCCATCAACGTTGGCGCAGCAAGGTGCACGAGCTCGCAGCCGTGCAGCCCTGAGTCAGATGAAGCTGTAAGAGCCGCATAGACAGCACTTACATATCGAAAATAGATTTCTTTGCCCTAAATCCCTTCCAGAATGAGAGGCGGTCTTTGTCCAGTATTGGGACACACTATAGACACACTTTAAATTTTTTGAATAAATTTTAAACTTTTTATTTCGACTGGCATACAATACAATACAATATTGATTTGCATATTAATCGTAAGATATAAAAGGCTTTAAATTTTATATTTTATTCAAAGTAAAGACTCCGATATATTCCTATTTTTAAATCGGCTTATAATTTTAAATTAGAGAATATGACTTTTGTAATATGCTTTAACTATTACTCAAGAAAATATGGAAATAATCCCCGTAGAGAATTTTAAACTTGAATCCTTTCAAGTGCTTTGTAAAATTAAATTCTTACAACGCAGTACAGAGTAGAATCATTATATTAATGTTTAAAAAAAATCCAAATATATTTTAAATAAAACATGAATAACTTATTGACGTTACTTACTGTTATATGTGTCCCAGGTTCAAATTCCCACTGTAGCTAACATTTGTGTTTATATTAAGATTTTATATTGAGATTAAATTTATTTTCAAATCTTGGTATTCAATTAGGCCCAAACAAATGTTTGAACGATTTTTGTAAAAAGATAACACAGCTTTCCGCAGAATTGTTTTTTCTTTTTTTTGTATCAGGACAATTTTTTTTATGTTCATATTATCTCAGACAAACTAAGAAATAAAAGTAATGCCGGAACCATGCTCAACTTCTTGACTCACACTTACGCACACGTCTTCCTTATCTCTTTCCTTAACATCCCGTTACACTGCTTGACGCAACATACGTATAAAACCATGTTGTTGGTTGCAAAAGATTTTAGATGCGTTTGTTTACGTGTGTGCGTGAACTTACAATAAGTTGAGCATGATTTTGGCTTGGTTTTTGCGACACTTGAAATATGGGCAGCGCTCCGTCTTAGTTTGTTTATCTAAGGTTCATATTATATGAAGTTCATATGTTTACATATCATGTATACATATTACACGTCATTGAAATTGCGTGCTATCTATGCAACATGTACGTAGAAATAGACTGTTACCACAAAATATTATTTTTAGTTTTTTGACCTATTTTTTTGTATTGTTGTTTACATAAGTTTTATTATTTTAAGATATTATTACATACTGTGTAATTTTTAAAGATCTGGAGATTCGTTCACACAGGACACCAGCTTGAAACGCAGCACTCGCTGTATGATGACTGACAACGAGAACATTTATAATCTTACTGGTAACGCGGGATTCCATTTTGTTCCGGAGAGAACAGGGCGTCGAAATTTTGTTTCTTAATCGAGGATAGACGTAGCTGTAGCCGTCCCAGTGTTCACTTATACTTTCAGGTGGACTGCGTTTTTGCTTGTCAACCTTATATAAAACATTGTCATGGCTTTGAGCGCGGGCAAAGCTATCAAGCTATGCAATGGTGGTCTTCTCATGCTCAGATGTATAAATTGTTACAGTAGTTCCGAGAAGAGAATAATAAAAAACAATGTTAAAAATATATAATCGAAGGCCATATGTCAAGACATCAGCGTCATAAATTCATTACGGGCTGTATGCGGTCCCATTGCTTATAGTTCCGTTTATGGTGAATCAAGAAGATGAATTCGAAAACGACTTTCCTTTAAGAGCGGCAAGTATTAAACTACCTAGTTATTATGACAATTTTTGTGGTGTAGCAATTCAATTTTTAAATGGTTATATTCTTTAATATAATCGTATTTTCCTGATACTGCATTGAGTTTAAAAAGGCGATCACCTGGCACAGTGGAAGATATTTGGTGACTGTAAGGCTGGACTTGGTTTCAAATTCCAACCTCAGCCAATATAATATTAATTCGGGCCTGACTGCTATGATTGGCATCGTCACGTTACAACGGACATGGATTTGTAAGGATAAGACGACTTATGTATTATCGCGTATATTTATGGCACTAGAGTACAATTTCGTAGCAGGGGGAAGGCTAGAGGATCATAGCGAGCATTCTAGAAAAAAAGACACCTTCTAGTCTTAAAATTTTATATAATGCAATTAAAAATGTGTTCTCCTACACACATACACACACAAATCAAGTATAGGGAAAGGTATGAAGACATATTATATTGTTTTATTTATTTTCATGTTACATAAACCAGTAGAAGCCTTTTACTGGTTTCATTTTGTTACAATACTCGCAAAATTAGGGTAATTTACAACTGCAGCAGCAAAAACACATGCGACACGGTGTACACACAATGCACTAATATACCTAAATGTACTTGTAAATGTTCTAAATAGTATGAAATCATCTTAGCCGAAATAGGTGAAAGGATCATTTATTTAAAAGCGCATATATTTGTGTATTTCCTCTTATAATACAAAGTACCTATAGCAAGGAAACGTGTAAAACATGGAAACGTGTAAAACGTGGAAACGTTTACTTATATAAAATTTCAGTAAACACTAAATCGACAATTACATACCTCAAAAAGCGGCAAATTTTCTTAAAAAGCATAGCATAGTAAGTAAAGCTCTTAATGAGGCGTTTAAAACAATTGAGATGAAGTCAATTCGGTCGTCCAAAATTAAAAACAGACAAAGCGAAGAAGGCAGAACCACGCAACGAAGAGAAGGCCTATTATTAGCAGCGGTGTGGTCTACCGATAAAGCATTGGTCACGCATAATAATTTAGTCCTATTACGCCCAAAATTCGGGGCAGCGAGGCGAATTGGTGTTTTGTAAGAAGTTTTGGAAGTTCCTACTTCAAAGAAAACCATTTTGAATTTCGAACCTAACGGTTGTCACTGCATACCATTTTATTGTATGTAATTTTGTCACGGTTTTTTTTTTTGACTTTCATCATATCCTGAGGTGTTTTGCGTTTTAAATTTATGATATAGCTCCACATTGCAGTATTATATGTGCTGGAGTCGCCACGAAGAGTGACTCCGCTCTCGCAGAATGCCACAATAAAATAGCAATATACTGCTGCTATATCGGAGGGTTTCTGTAGAGAACCCCAGGCCCTTTATACTGGAAACGAGGCATTCCATCTTCAACCTCTGAGGTGGCCACGTTCATCTGGAAAAGAACTTTTTTTATCATTGATGAATGAACGATAAATACGTCTATCCGTTACCCACCAAAAATTCTCAGATGAACAGAGACCTCCCCCATAGATTGCCTCATAAGAAAGATTATAATTGCCAAGTTTTAGTAGTCGGGTCGGTAACCGCAGGTTTTTTATAATTTTGAGTATCATTAGCAAGATGCTACCCGTCTCCAATTTCATTTCCTTCTGATGCCTTTTACTACAACCTATGGAATGATGAATTATTAAATTATCTTATGCCGTCACTACACGGTGAATCTACACATTTAACATTCGAAATCAGTGGGACATAACACACTTTACCAATGTGTTTGGGTTGTAAGTGCGTTAAACATACCATCAACAGTATAATGTACAGTATCATTATCATAACACATTATTTTAGTATCCATGAATTCCTCGCTGCTACCCAACAAATATGAAGTTAACGTTAAGCAAACGGCCATTCTGTGCTTATTCTACTCAAGTTTGTACTTAATTAGCCAAGTTTCCAACAGTATCTCGTGGATCCCAAAACACTACGCTCATTAATACATTACACACACATTAAGACGCGATTTCGGGATGTTTAGGGACAAAGGCGCGTGTACAATCCAAACGTCCTGTGTCAACATAGGGAACGGTCTCGTTCTATGGTTACGTCACGCCCCATGGATATTTCTGCAACATCGTCATCGTATAAATAAAGTTGTAATTCTGTATGTTTATCCGATCGAGGGTGCTACTGAATGTGTTGTTTGAAAGGATTTAGTAAATCGTGGTTTAAATATAATTTATTGACTGCTCTATGGCTCAGTGGCTTAACACGGCGCTGAAGGTCGCGAGTTTGAATCTCGCTCGGTATTATTCGTATGACCTACAAATAGTTGTTCTGAGTCTGGATGTTTTCTCACGTGAAAAATCCATATCATCCTGTCAACACCCACGATGGACATTGGTAAGAGTTGACAGAGGGAAACAAATCAGGAAATGGGCCGCAGTGTCTTCCTAATACAGTGGACTCCCGGTAATCCGGCCCCTGGCTAATCCGTCCCCTCTTGTAATCCGACTTGTCTTTAACTTGTAGGTAGATCCGAGTCGTGCTATGAATCCGCCACGGCAGAGGTTCTTTTCGCGAATACGGGGACAAACAGGTTGCAGTTTGTTAGCGCCACCACGAATCTAGCTTGACGCCTGTTGTCTATTGTCTCAATTCAAATGTGACTATGGTGGCGGCCTAGCGGGCATTTATTATTTACTGTTTATGTATTCGTTGTGCATCATACGACATTTTTATTATTTTATATTTGATATGTAATATGTCGGATTATAAAATTTTCAAAAATCTCTCGTTTTTTAAAGTCCCGGACTACCAGGGGGCAGTAGTACTCTATAGTCCGACAAATTCGATAATCCGACACCACCTTGCAAAATGTTTATCGGGTTACTGGGGGTCAACCGTGACTGTTAAAAATAAAAAACTGCGGTTGCCAACTCGCTAGCCAAGCGTGGCAATCTATGGCATATATTCAGCAGTGGCTTTTAATAAGCTTTAACGGTACCGGTAACCGTTTAGGCGTCTGTCAGTGATTTTATAACATTTGAACGTCTCGACTGTTTGATATGATATTTACACAAGGTATTTGTTTTGTCGAGACGATGGATCTTATTTAGAATGTGATAGACGACGATAAGGTCGAATTATTAATAAGGTAAAACTCATCGTACAGAGGCTGAAAGATTGCCAGACGGTCTGCTGTCTATATCTTATATTTATTTACGTGGTAGAGCCACGCTGCAGTTATATTATGGATAGCATGAATGGGTTGGTTCAACCGGCGTAGGACCACGCTGTTATGCCCCGGCTATACGCTCCGTCTTGCCTGCACAGTCCAGGCCTGTGCAGTCATAACGGTACAGCGGCTCGTGCAGGTCAGTTTGTGTAAACTGGACTGTGCAAACCTCAAAGTGTTTTGAGAGCTAGTCGCGTCACGATGTGGCCAGAAGAGGTTTTTTTTTTAAACGGAGCCTTATATTATTGTTTACTTGTAAAAAAGCAACAAGTAAGAAAGTTAGTTTTTCAATTAATAAATGATAAGCTTCATTTTTTTTTGTTCCTGTCGGAATATTCCTTACTTTTAATTTTCCAAACGCCGGCAACGATTTGTACAATTCTACGAATTCAGTAAAAAATGCCTGGAATAATTGCGTACATTTCTCATTTTTAAGATTTTATAACATAACATGTGTTGTCAACAAGAATTTAGACGGACTGAAGCGCGGCTTGAATAACCGGCCACACGCTCAAGTAAACTCGCAGGCAAAACCGTACAAACCAAGCCCGCGCAGTCCAATCTTCAGCACGTCAACGATTACGCAGGTCGCCTGCGCGAGCCACCGTCTTACCGTCCACATGCACGCGCTTACCTGTGCAAACTGGTTTGTGCAGGCATGCTCACAGGCAAGACATACAGAATACCAGCGTAAAATAGCAGATTAATGCTGCTGTGTTTCATATTGTGAGTGTAGAGGACCGGAGACCATTTTTATTGGAAACGTGGCATACATGTATTTTGATTCTTAATTGAGTATAAAAGTAGTTAGGTTGTACCAGTTCTGGCGCACTTGTAGAAAGGTTGTACCAGTTCTGGCGCATTGAGTCAGAAGTGGTTCAAGTACGACGTTCGTCGACTCACGATCCTTAAAAAAAAAAAGGTTTCGGCATGCTCTGATCACGAATCTGCGGTCCATTTTTGCGTAGGATGTACGGTTCCGGAGATGTGCAGATCAATTAACTCTTATCTACTTGATATACGCTGCGAGCCTCAACCGTCATTAGCGCTCCATTGTCCTTATCTACTTATCTATTGTTGATTGACTACCGTCATTATCTATTATTCGTCAGCGTGTGGGTCGGCTTATGCTATTGTATTATACTCCTTTGTTCCTATCTACAACACTAATCTGAATCATCAATAAAACACATTACCTAATTTTGTTAAAATTTTTATTTATAAAATACAAAATCTTATTACTTATTATCTATAAAATAGGAGAGAAACATCTCATCCACTAACATATCGTTGTACAATGTGTTCTCTGTAAATATACTCGTAAAACTATGCATTGAACATCCCTGAAATTTATATAGCAAATACATTAAGCAATATTCGCCACAAACTGAAGTCCTATCAACATTCCAGTTCCATCTTTTAAACACATTACATAATTTTGTTAAAATTTTTATTTATAAAATACAAAATCTTATTACTTATTATCTATAAAATAGGAGCGAAACATCCCATCCACTAACATATCGTTGTACAATGTGTTCTCTGTAAATATACTCGTAAAACTATGCATTGAATATCCCTGAAACTTATATAGCAAATACATTAAGCAATATTCGCTACAAACTGAAGTCCTATCAACATTCCAGTTCCATCTTTTAAACACATTACCTAATTTTGTTAAAATTTTTATTTATAAAATAAAAAATCTTATTACTTATTATCTATAAAATAGGAGCGAAACATCTCATCCACTAACATATCGTTGTACAATGTGTTCTCTGTAAATATACTCGTAAAACTATGCATTGAATATCCCTGAAACTTATATAGCAAATACATTAAGCAATATTCGCCACAAACTGAAGTCCTATCAACATTCCAGTTCCATCTTTTAAACACATTACCTAATTTTGTTAAAATTTTTATTTATAAAATAAAAAATCTTATTACTTATTATCTATAAAATAGGAGCGAAACATCTCATCCACTAACATATCGTTGTACAATGTGTTCTCTGTAAATATACTCGTAAAACTATGCATTGAACATCCCTGAAACTTATATAGCAAACACATTAAGCAATATTCGCCACAAACTGAAGTCCTATCAACATTCCAGTTCCATCTTTTAAACACATTACCTAATTTTATTAAAATTTTTATTTATAAAATACAAAATCTTATTACTTATTATCTATAAAATAGGAGCGAAACATCTCATCCACTAACATATCGTTGTACAATGTGTTCTCTGTAAATATACTCGTAAAACTATGCATTGAACATCCCTGAAACTTATATAGCAAATACATTAAGCAATATTCGCCACAAACTGAAGTCCTATCAACATTCCAGTTCCATCTTTTACAATTTCGTACAGGTGCCCGTCCATATGAATCAAAATATTCACTGACGTCATTCGTATCGATATATAAAGCTACCCAATGTGACCCTGGTTTATCATCTGTACCCAAATTGCATATTACCTAGTCAGGTCATAAATTCTATCACATGTTTAATGTAAAATAATTGAAACAAGTTTATTCATTATGTAACCATTTATATACCAAAATGAACTTAACAAAACATAGATTCTTATGACACTATAGTTTATTCAAAATGACCTCCGTAATTTTGAATACAGGCCTTCAATCTGCGCGGCCAGTCGTCTATCTCACCACGAACGAGGTCCATGTCATATCGGCGGCTGCCTTAATTAAAGATGTCTTGAGTGACTCGAAATTGGGATGAGGCTTTGAGCACGCCTTGTCCTCCAAGTGTTACCATATCTTGTAATCTAACGGATTCAAATCTGGACTGGTCTTTGTGTCGGATGAAGTCGATTTCACGCGCCGCCAGCCAGTCTTTTTTTTTTGTTTTTAAAGAACGTTACCTCCACACTAGGTTTTTCTCCTGTATCGTGGGGGGCAGTTTACAAACACAAATTTCACAAGGACAAACATCCAAACTCGGAACAATTACTTGTAGGTCGTACAAATACTTGTTCCGTGCGGGATTCGAACCCGCGACCCCCAAGCGCAGCCACTCATTGCTAAGCCACTACGCCACGGAGCTGTCAAAAGTCTTGTGTGCTCTTCGCTCTATGAGCTGACGCCGAATCTTGTTGGAATAACCAGTGCCTGTTATTGAACATGGTATGAGAAACAGGTTACACAAGGTTCGTCAGGACTGTATTTTGATACACAACTGCATTCGTTTTTAACCTTTCTCACAAAAATGTACCTCTGTTAAGCCCCAATAAGAAACTCCCAACCATACCATGAGCGAGGATGGAAAATGACCTCGTTGGACACGCGGAATACGGTTGCTCGCTTCTTCACTACTGTGTGCGTACACCTTATCATTTTATTTGTTGTAGCTCTCTTCTACGGTAAAAATTTTTTTATCCGAAAAAAGAATTTCCCGATAATTTTTTCCCGCGTACCGCTTCACCAAAGCGCGGCATCTCTTCAGTCTCAGATCCATTAGACGAGCATTCAAACGATGTCCTGTTTTTCTTCGATATGCCCGAAGCCCTAAGTCTTCATTTAACGCCGTGGTTCTGCTTAACCCCATCTGAAGGGCCAACAGTTTCTGCTTACGTTTGGGATTTCTTTGAATTCGCACCTTTACAGCTTTTATCACTGCTGGAGTCCTAACAAATCGAGGGCGACCACTTCTTGACCTGTCATCTACACTAGAGTCTTCATTGTATCGTTTGATGGTACGATAAACGAATCTTTTGGTTATATTCAAATTTTTCAGTATATCAAAAAATTTAATTGGCGCGTAATCGCAACTGCAACACGGTCTTTTTTAAGCGTCCACTCCATATGTAAAAATGAGTAAAATTCTAAAAAGTATACAGTTTTATTTTCATGAACAATTCTAATTCAATAAACTTTTTTGTGGCCAGCATTCTAAAAGAAAAGTTTTTACTGTGTGACAATACTTATGACCTGACTAGGTATATACGTGGGTACGTGGGTGTACATGGGCAGTCTGTTAGCAGCATAAACATTATTTTCTAGACTGGGGTGAATCGTTTTTCAGATGTTGTTGTACATCTAGTGTATCCATGATATTACTGCTATTAGTAGATTACTACAGTACAATCTACTCAATGACTAACATAGGAATGATCAATTATGTGATTTCTAAATATTAAATTGCATTTTTTCTGTTATACAAAACGTATTTGAGTCATCAATACACTGAATAAGACGCAACACGAAGAATGTGAGATAAGGTTGTTGACGCATAAAGTTATTATCAATTCTACTGTAGAAATTCTTTAGATTAGAATTATTACTTACTGGTACTATATAAGACCAAGCAACTGCAGTCATGGAGTTAGTGTATGGTCGTTTGACCGCAGTGTATCTATCAATAATACATTTGCGTTACTTCAACGCATCAAAGGCCATAGATGTAAGTGTTTAATCTATTGACAAACTTACTTTTCTTTCTGTTATTTTTTACGTGTGTATGATTTTGAACGACAGGCCTGTTGGTCTAGTGGTTAGTGACCCTGACTGTTATGCCGGAGGTCGTGGGTTCGATTCCCACCCAGGACAAATGTTTGTGTGATGAGCACGATCATTTGCTCTGTGTCTGGGTGTAATTTATCTATAATATTTATGTATTTAGAAATATATAAGTATGTTTATCAGTTGTCTAGTACCCATAACACAAGCTCTGCTTAGCTTGGGACTAGATGGCGTTGTGTGATAGTTGTGGAATATTATTATTATTATTATGTGGGGGTATCAATATAGTTTTCTCATCTGGTTGGGTTCTATAAATATATAATTATAAATTAAAATGAAAAGATAAATATACATAAATATCAATAAAATAAAATAAATACAAAAAATACACAAATAAATAAAGATCCAACCAGATGGAAGCCCTCGGCAGGGGAGACCAAACGGCCGAGGGTTAGGGGGGAAAGGGAAAGAAACCGACGGACGATGCGGGCGGTATCGAGGACCACCGCCTTCTGCATTTGAGCCCGGAGCGGTCCGTCACGGAGTCCCAGTCGCCTCAGATGACCCGAGAGGCTGACTGGGATTAGCCCATTCGCAGAGACGACTACAGGAATAATTTCGGTCGGCAGACCACCCCACATGTCGGTCACCTCGTGAGCCAGGTCCAGATATTTTGTTCGCTTATCTGTTTCGGCTTTCACGAGGTTCTCGTCATACGGAATGGTAATGTCGACCAAAAATATCCTTGACTGTGCCCGGTCCATCAGCACAATATCAGGCTTATTCGCAAGAATAGTCCTGTCTGTGATGATGGCCCGGTCCCAGTAGAGCCTGGCGCGGTCATTTTCGAGCACGGCTTCCGGCAAGTACTTGTAATACGGCAATTTCCGGTCCACGAGACCGTATTTCAGAGCGAGCGCCTGGTGTAGAATTCTGGCTACTAGGTTGTGCCTGTGCAAGTACTCAGAGTTAGAAAGCGCCGAACAACCGGAGATGACATGCCTAAGTGACTCCCCCGGGATGGCGACAAGCTCGATAGACGTCGACGGTGCCATCCTTTAGGATGTATCTCCGATAGTTGTTGGTCTTAATAACCTGATCCTGTATTGCACAGACAAAACCCTCGGTTTCCCCGAAGAGGTCACCGAAACGTAGCCAGTTGAGGGAGGCGACTGTATCTACGAAGGGCTCATGTAGAACCCTGTAGTACCTCCCGTGGAGCTCCTTCTCCTTCCATACGGTCTCCCGGTCGGAAATGCTAAGCACTGCTGGGTCCTGCCATTGCTCGTTGGCCAAGGATAGAGGGGTAAGCCCTTTATCACTAGAAATGACGTCATTATAGAATGGATCATCCGATCTCGCCAGGAAGTAATGACGGAGGCTGCACACTTCACGATTATGCATAGTGAGCGCGCTCAGAAAGCCACGCCCACCATGCTTTCGCGGCAAGTACAGCCTCATTACCGACGATCTCGGATGATGCATCCTATGGGACGTCATGGTAGTGCGGACTTTTCTATCCAGGGCGTTAAGTTCAGTCTGAGTCCACCTGAGTATGCCAAAGGTATACATAAGGACAGGCATGACCCAACCGTTATATGCGTGTGTCTTATTCACACCGGACAAAAGGCTATTAAGCACTTTGGTCAAGCGTGCATAAAACACGTCGCAAACTGACTGTTTCACACCAGCCTCATCGATACCGATGTTCTGTGACATACCCAGGTATCGGTATGTTTCAGCCTCGGAAAGGGTCCTTAAGTTGACGGGCATAGATAAATCTATGCCCTCAGAGTTAGCAACCCTTCCCCTCTCAACATGGAGGACCGCACACTTATCCGTCCCCAGCTCCATTCCAATAGAACTGCTAAACTCACAAGTGATGTTTAGCAATTCCATAAGATGGGAGCGACTGGAGGCGAATAACTTAAGGTCATCCATATAGAAAAGGTGGGTCACTTTTGTCCCTCCTTTTCGTAGCTGAAATCCCCCTCCCGGATCCCTCCAGTAAGGTACTGAGAGGGTTCAGGGAGAGGCAGAACCAGATTGGACTCAGACAATCGCCCTGGAAGATACCCCTTCTTATCCTTATGTGGTTCTCCGCAGCCATCATCCGCTCACCCAGATGACAGAGGATCGTACTCCACTGCCCCATACACTGCTCGAGGAAGTCTCTCACTGTACAGTCTATCTTGTACAGCTCGAGGACTCTCTTTAGCCATGTATGGGGCACCGAGTCGAATGCCTTTCTGTAGTCTATCCAGGCGGCGGAGAAGTTCCGACGGTTGCGTTTCACCACTTTGCCAATGACCGCGTCAATGAGGAGTGGTTCCTTAGTTCCACGACCACCGCCCCGACATCCATTTTGAGCGCGTGACATCACCTGATTTAGCTCCAGGTGACGAGTGATTCTCGCGCTCAAAATGGATGTCAGTGTCTTATATATGGTGGGTAGACACGTAATGGGGCGGTATTTGCTCGGGTCTGTGGTAACCTGGTCTTTAGGAACCAAATGAGTGATCCCAGTAGTGAAGAGGCTAGGGAGCGACTTCTGGTTGAGAGCCTCTTGAAACTGACGGGCGAGCACAGCGTGACACACCATGAACCCCTTCAGCCAGTAGTGATGCAGTCCGTCGAGTCCCGGACTTTTCCAGTTCGGGGCTCTACGGACCGCCTCAGCTACGTCATCCGGCGTTATGATGACGGGGTCCATGGGCGTAATCCTCGCACACTGACTCGCCACAACTTCCGTCCAAGGGCCCTCGCTGTGGTTTACGGGCTCTGACCACAGGCCACGCCAAAATGCGACAGTGTTAGCCTGGTCCGGTCCTGGGCCCGCTCCACATACCTCTGGTCGCTCCAATGATTTGTAGAGCCTCTTCTGATCACTCTGGAAGAGACGATTCTGGTTGAACCGCCTTGACCTCTCGGTAAATCGGCGAATCCGCTTCCCCCAAGCGGCAATCTTTTGCTTCAGGTCGTCTATGCGCTCCGTTAGTTTCTGCGTGATATCCGGCTGGGACAAACTGATATTTGTCCCAGCAAACGCCATTCTAACGGTGCGCACAACCCTCGGTCTATTATTACCCGACCTGAAGCTTATCAGTCTGCCGATAAGGGCCCTTGCCTTTGCGATACGGTCCTCAATTCTTTTTCTCCAGGCTGGGATGGCGCTACTTTGTTTAGTAGCGCGTCCAGCCATGGGAAGTCTGGCGCCAATAATACGGCAAGCTGCCACTGCGGCGCCAAAAAGAACTGAGTCCGTCTCGCAAAGGTCCCGGCTGGCTTCCAAATAGGTTACCAGCATTGGGTTAAGAGCCCTCACGACAGCCCGATTTCACTTGCTTAGAGGTATGCGGGGAAGTCGCGGTCGATTTTCGAGAGGCATGCTGCGCGTTACCAAAATCGCCTCTTCCAATATACTCCTCATTTGCTCTAGTTCGTGGGAGACCATTTCATCATCGTCTGAATCAACCACAACTGGAAGATCCATGGCGGCTTCTACGCGTGGCAGCTGGTCTGTCGCCTGAGGAGCCGCATCCCCAGCCGTAGCCAATTCATTCGATGAGGGAATGGCCTCACGTCGTAGTCGTTCGAGCTCGGCATCATCGAATATTTTCGAGCGCATGATGTACCGAACTCGGTCTGCCAGGTTTTGTTCCGTGACGGGAATAGACGGCTCCAGCTCAGCAAAAAAGCAATGCATCCGAGCCCGATACGCTATCCCCGCAGTTTCTTCCCCTTTCGCCCTATAGTACGCCCGCAATGCGTTTGCGTTCATATCCCTTGTCCAACGCATGCGGCGCACTCCACCAGCGGCGGATGCCGCTTGCCGAGTCCGAGAGGACCCTGCCGACATCAAGCCGTCTGGTGGGGATGATGGATGCGGGGGGCTGTTAGGTGATCTTGCAGCTCCTCGCGCTCGGCTGGCGGCCCGCATGCTGCCGCGTCCAGCGCCAGCTCCAGACGCGCCCCGGCGACCCCCAGGCAGCGGCCCTATACGTTTTCCAATCTTATCCATCATCCATTTTTGGGCGCCAATTAGCGGGAGACGCCCAGGCCCGGCACCGTTTCATTGTATCATTGTACGGCCGTAAGCACAAACGGGCCTTTGCACCCTGAGTACTGCCGAGGCACGGCGCTCACACCTCTTGGCAAGGCGCTGACTGACTGCACCGACGTAGCAGTTTTGTCACTTAACTGTTTCGTCAGCGGGCGATGGGGTCGTCACTTCCCTACGCCTTTATTATTATTATTATTATGGGGTATCTATATAGTTTTCTCATCTGGTTGGGTTCTATAAATATATAATTATAAATGAGAATGAAAAGATAAATATACATAAATATCAATAACATAAAATAAATATAAAAATACATAAATAAATAAAAGCCCAACCAGATGGAGGCCCTCGGCAGGGGAGACCAAACGGCCGAGGGTTAGGGGGAAAGGGAAAGAAACCGGCGGACGATGCGGGCGGTATCGAGGAGCACCGCCTTCTGCATTTGAGCCCGGAGCGGTCCGCCACGTAGTCCCAGTCGCCTCAGATGACCCGAGAGGCTGACTGGGATTAGCCCGTTTGCAGAGACGACTACAGGAATAATTTCGGTCGGCAGACCACCCCACATGTCGGTCACCTCGTGAGCCAGGTCCAGATATTTTGTTTGCTTGTCTGTTTCGGCTTTCACGAGGTTCTCGTCATACGGAATGGTAATGTCGACCAAAAATATCCTTGACTGTGCCCGGTCCATCAGCACAATATCAGGCTTATTCGCAAGAATAGTCCTGTCTGTGATGATGGCCCGGTCCCAGTAGAGCCTGGCGCGGTCATTTTCGAGCACGGCTTCCGGCAAGTACTTGTAATACGGCAATTTCCGGTCCACGAGACCGTATTTCAGAGCGAGCTCCTGGTGTAGAATTCTGGCTACTAGGTTGTGCCTGTGCAAGTACTCAGAGTTAGAAAGCGCCGAACAACCGGAGATGACATGCCTAAGTGATTCACCGGGATGGCGACAAGCTCGACAGACGTCGACGGTGCCATCCTTTAGGATGTATCTCCGATAGTTGTTGGTCTTAATAACCTGATCCTGTATTGCACAGACAAAACCCTCGGTTTCCCCGAAGAGGTCACCGAAACGTAGCCAGTTGAGGGAGGCGACTGTATCTACGAAGGGCTCATGAAGAGCCCTGTAGTACCTCCCGTGGAGCTCCTTCTCCTTCCATACGGTCTCCCGGTCGGAAATGCTAAGCACTGCTGGGTCCTGCCATTGCTCGTTGGCTAAGGATAGAGGGGTAAGCCCTTTATCACTAGAAATGACGTCATTATAGAATGGATCATCCGATCTCGCCAGGAAGTAATCACGGAGGCTGCACACTTCGCGATTATGCATGGTGAGCGCGCTCATAAAACCACGCCCACCATGCTTTCGCGGCAAGTACAGCCTCATTACCGACGATCTCGGATGATGCATCCTATGGGACGTCATGGTAGTGCGGACTTTTCTATCCAGGGCGTTAAGTTCGGTCTGAGTCCACCTGAGTATGCCAAAGGTATATATGAGGACAGGCATGACCCAACCGTTATATGCGTGTGTCTTATTCACACCGGACAAAAGGCTGTTAAGCACTTTGGTCAAGCGTGCATAAAACACGTCGCAAACTGACTGTTTCATACCAGCCTCATCGATACCGATGTTCTGTGACATACCCAGGTATCGGTATGTTTCAGCCTCGGAAAGGGTCTTTAAGTTGACGGGCATAGATAAATCTATGCCCTCAGAGTTAGCAACCCTTCCCCTTTCAACATGAAGGACCGCACACTTATCCGTCCCCAGCTCCATTCCAATGGAATTGCTAAATTCACAAGTGATGTTTAGCAATTCCATAAGATGGGAGCGACTGGAGGCGAATAACTTGAGGTCATCCATATAGAAAAGGTGGGTCACTTTTGTTCCTCCTTTCCGTAGCTGAAATCCTCTCCCGGAGCCCTCCAGTAAGGTACTGAGAGGGTTCAGAGAGAGGCAGAACCAGATTGGACTCAGACAATCGCCCTGGAAGATACCCCTTCTTATCCTTATGTGGTTCTCCGCAGCCATCATCCGCTCGCCCTGATAACAGAGGATCGTACTCCACTGCCCCATACACTGCTCGAGGAAGTCTCTAACTGTACAGTCAATCTTGTACAGCTCGAGGACCCTCTTTAGCCATGCATGGGGCACCGAGTCGAATGCTTTTCTGTAGTCTATCCAGGCGGCGGAGAAGTTCCGACGGTTGAGTTTTACCACTTTGCCAATGACCGCGTCAATGAGGAGTGGTTCCTTGGTTCCACGACCACCGCCCCGACATCCATTTTGAGCGCGTGACATCACCTGATTTAGCTCCAGGTGACGAGTGATTCTCGCGCTCAAAATGGATGTCAGTGTCTTATATATAGTGGGTAGACACGTGATGGGGCGGTATTTGCTCGGGTCTGTGGTATCCTGGTCTTTAGGAACCAAGTGAGTGATCCCAGTAGTGAAGAGGCTCGGGAGCGACTTCTGGTTGAGAGCCTCTTGATACTGTCGGGCGAGCACAGCGTGACACACTACGAACCCCTTCAGCCAGTAATGATGCAGCCCGTCGAGCCCCGGACTTTTCCAGTTCGGGGCCCTACGGACCGCCTCAGCCACGTCTTCAGGCGTTATGGTGACGGGGTCCATGGGCGTAACACTTGCACTCCGGCTCGCCACAACTTCCGTCCAAGGGCCCTCGCTGTGGTTTACGGGCTCTGACCACAGGCCACGCCAAAATGCGACAGTGTCAGCCTGATCCGGTCCTGGGCCCGCTCCACATACCTCTGGTCGCTCCAATGATTTATAGAGCCTCTTCTGATCACTCTGGAAGAGACGATTCTGGTTGAACCGCCTTGACCTCTCGCTAAATCGTCGAATCCGCTTCCCCCAAGCAGCGATTTTTTGCTTCAGGTCATCTATGCGCTCCGTTAGTTTCTGCGTGATATCCGGCTGGGACAAACTAATATTTGTCCCAGCAAACGCCATTCTAACGGTGCGCACAACTCTCGGTCTAATATTACCCGACCTGAAGCTTGTCAGTCTGCCGATAAGGGCCCTTGCCTTTGCGATACGGTCCTCGATTCTTTTTCTCCAGGCTGGGATGGCGCTACTTTGTTGAGTAGCACGTCCAGCCATGGGAAGTTTGGCGCCAATAATACGGCATACTGCCAGTGCGGCGCCAAAAAGAATTGAGTCCGTCTCGCAAAGGTCCCGGCTGGCTTCCAAATAGGTCACCAGCATTGGGTTAAGAGCCCGCACGACAGCCCGATTTCGCTTGCTAAGGGGTATGCGGGGAAGTCGCGGTCGATTTTCGAGAGGCATGCTGCGCGTTTCCAGCATCGACTCTTCCAATATACTCCTCATTTGCTCTAGTTCGTGGGGGACTATTCCATCATCGTCTGAATCAACCACAACTGGAATATTGACGGCGGCGTCCACATTTGCAGTTTGCTGCGCAATTAGTGGCGCCGCATCCCCAGCCGTAGCATTTCCATCCGATGAGGGAACAGCCTCACGTCGTAGTCGTTCGAGTTCGGCGTCACCAAATATGTTGGAGCGCAGGATGTACCGAACTCGGTCTGCCAGGTTTTGCTCAGTGACGGATAGAGATGGCTCCAGCTCAGCAAAAAAGCGATGCATCCGAGCCCGATACGCCAAACATCCGGTTTCTTCCCCTTTCGCCCTAAAGTACGCCCGCAGTGCGTTTGCGTTCATTGTTTGTGACCAACGCATGCGACGTGCTCCACCAGCGGCGGGTGCCGCTTGCTGAGTCCGAGAAGACCCAGCCGACACCAAGCCTTCTGGTGGGGATGATGGATGCGGAGGGCTGCTAGGTGATCGTACAGCTCCTCGCGCTCGGCTGGCGGCCCGCATGCTGCCGCGTCCAGCGCCAGCTCCAGACGCGCCCCGGCGACCCCCAGGCAGCGGCCCTATGCGCGTTCCTCTTTGTACCATCATCCATTTATGGGCGCCAAATAACGGGAGACGCCCAAGCCCGGCACCGTTATCGTGGTTCGGTCTTATGCACAAACGGGCCTTTGCACCCACAATTTTGCCGAGGCACGGCGCTCACACCTCTTGGCAGGGCGCTGACTGACTGCGCCGACGTAGCAGTTTTGTCACATAACTGTTACGTCAGCGGGCGATGGGGTCGTCACTTCCCTACGCCTTATTATTATTATTATTATTGGGGTATCTATATAGTTTTCTCATCTGGTTGGGTTCTATAAATATATAATTATAAATGAAAATGAAAAGATAAATATACATAAATATCAATAACATAAAATAAATATAAAAATACATAAATAAATAAAAGCCCAACCAGATGGAGGCCCTCGGCAGGGGAGACCAAACGGCCGAGGGTTAGGGGGAAAGGGAAAGAAACCGGCGGACGATGCGGGCGGTATCGAGGAGCACCGCCTTCTGCATTTGAGCCCGGAGCGGTCCGCCACGTAGTCCCAGCCGCCTCAGATGACCCGAGAGGCTGACTGGGATTAGCCCGTTTGCAGAGACGACTACAGGAATAATTTCGGTCGGCAGACCACCCCACATGTCAGTCACCTCGTGAGCCAGGTCCAGATATTTTGTTTGCTTGTCTGTTTCGGCTTTCACGAGGTTCTCGTCATACGGAATGGTAATGTCGACCAAAAATATCCTTGACTGTGCCCGGTCCATCAGCACAATATCAGGCTTATTCGCAAGAATAGTCCTGTCTGTGATGATGGCCCGGTCCCAATAGAGCCTGGCGCGATCATTTTCGAGCACGGCTTCCGGCAAGTACTTGTAATACGGCAATTTCCGGTCCACGAGACCGTATTTCAGAGCGAGCTCCTGGTGAAGAATTCTGGCTACTAGGTTGTGCCTGTGCAAGTACTCAGAGTTAGAAAGCGCCGAACAACCGGAGATGACATGCCTAAGTGACTCACCGGGATGGCGACAAGCTCGACAGACGTCCACGGTGCCATCCTTTAGGATGTATCTCCGATAGTTGTTGGTCTTAATAACCTGATCCTGTATTGCACAGACAAAACCCTCGGTTTCCCCGAATAGGTCACCAAAACGTAGCCAGTGGAGGGAGGCGACTGTGTCTACGAAAGGCTCATGTAGAGCCTTGTAGAACCTCCCGTAGAGCTCCTTCTCCTTCCATACGTTCTCCCGGTCGGAAATTGTCTGCACTGCCGGGTCTTGCCATTGCTCGTTGGCTAAGGATAGAGGGGTTAAGCCCTTTATCACAAAAAATGACGTCCTTATAGAATGGATCATCCGATCTCGCCAGGAAGTAATTACGGAGGCTGCACACTTCGCGATTATGCATGGTGAGCGCGCTCAAGAAGCCACGCCCACCATGCTTTCGCGGCAAGTACAGCCTCATTACCGACGATCTCGGATGATGCATCCTGTGGGACGTCATGGTAGTGCGGACTTTTCTATCCAGGGCGTTAAGTTCAGTCTGAGTCCACCTGAGTATGCCAAAGGTATACATGAGGACAGGCATGACCCAACCGTTATATGCGTGTGTCTTATTCACACCGGACAAAAGGCTGTTAAGCACTTTGGTCAAGCGTGCATAAAACACGTCGCAAACTGACTGTTTCATACCAGCCTCATCGATACCGATGTTCTGTGACATACCCAGGTATCGGTATGTTTCAGCCTCGGAAAGGGTCCTTAAGTTGACGGGCATAGATAAGTCTATGCCCTCAGAGTTAGCAACCCTCCCCCTTTCAACATGAAGGACCGCACACTTATCCGTCCCCAGCTCCATTCCAATAGAATTGCTAAATTCACAAGTGATGTTTAGCAATTCCATAAGATGGGAGCGACTGGAGGCGAATAACTTGAGGTCATCCATATAGAAAAGGTGGGTCACTTTTGTACCTCCTTTCCGTAGCTGAAATCCCCTCCCGGAGCCCTCCAGTAAAGTACTGAGAGGGTTCAGAGAGAGGCAAAACCAGATCGGACTCAGACAATCGCCCTGGAAGATACCCCTTCTTATCCTTATGTGGTTCTCCGCAGCCATCATCCGCTCGCCCAGATAGCAAAGGATCGTACTCCATTGCCCCATACACTGCTCGAGGAAGTCTCTAACTGTACAGTCAATTTTGTACAGCTCGAGGACCCTCTTTAGCCATGTATGGGGCACCGAGTCGAATGCCTTTCTGTAGTCTATCCAGGCGGCGGAGAAGTTCCGACGGTTGCGTTTCACCACTTTGCCAATGACCGCGTCAATGAGGAGTGGTTCCTTGGTTCCACGACCACCGCCCCGGCATCCATTTTGAGCGCGTGACATCACCTGATTTAGCTCCAGGTGACGAGTGATTCTCGCGCTCAAAATGGATGTCAGTGTCTTATATATGGTGGGTAGACACGTGATGGGGCGGTATTTGCTCGGGTCTGTGGTATCCTGATCTTTAGGAACCAAATGAGTGATCCCAGTAGTGAAGAGGCTCGGGAGCGACTTCTGATCGAGAGCCTCTTGAAACTGTCGGGCGAGCACAGCGTGACACACTACGAACCCCTTCAGCCAGTAATGATGCAGCCCGTCGAGCCCCGGACTTTTCCAGTTCGGGGCCCTACGGACCGCCTCAGCCACGTCTTCAGGCGTTATAGTGACGGGGTCCATAGGCGTAACACTTGCACTCTGGCTCGCCACAACTTCCATCCAAGGGCCCTCGCTGTGGTTTACGGGCTCTGACCACAGGCCACGCCAAAATGCGACAGTGTCAGCCTGATCCGGTCCTGGGCCCGCTCCACATACCTCTGGTCGCTCCAATGTTTTATAGAGCCTCTTCTGATCACTCTGGAAGAGACGATTCTGGTTGAACCGCCTTGACCTCTCGCTAAATCGTCGAATCCGCTTCCCCCAAGCAGCGATTTTTTGCTTCAGGTCATCTATGCGCTCCGTTAGTTTTTGCGTGATATCCGGCTGGGACAAACTGATATTTGTCCCAGCAAACGCCATCCTAACGGTGCGCATAATCCTCGGTCTATTATTACCCGACCTGAAGCTTGTCAGTCTGCCGATAAGGGCCCTTGCCTTTGCGATACGGTCCTCAATTCTTTTTCTCCAGGCTGGGATGGCGCTACTTTGTTGAGTAGCACGTCCAGCCATGGGAAGTTTGGCGCCAATAATACGGCATACTGCCAGTGCGGCGCCAAAAAGAATTGAGTCCGTCTCGCAAAGGTCCCGGCTGGCTTCCAAATAGGTCACCAGCATTGGGTTAAGAGCCCGCACGACAGCCCGATTTCGCTTGCTAAGGGGTATGCGGGGAAGTCGCGGTCGATTTTCGAGAGGCATGCTGCGCGTTTCCAGCATCGACTCTTCCAATATGCTCCTCATTTTCTCTAGTTCGTGGGAGACTATTCCATCATCGTCTGAATTAGCCACAAATGGAATGTTGACGGCAGCGTCCACATATGCAGTTTGTTGCGCATCTAGTGGCGCCGCATTCCCAGCCGTAGCATTTCCATTCGATGAGGGAATAGCCTCACGTCGTAGTCGCTCGAGTTCGGCGTCACCAAATATGTTGGAGCGCAGGATGTACCGAACTCGGTCTGCCAGGTTTTGCTCAGTGACGGATAGAGATGGCTCCAGCTCTGCAAAAAAGCGATGCATCCGAGCCCGATACGCCAAACATCCAGTTTCTTCCCCTTTTGCCCTAAAATACGCCCGCAGTGCGTTTTCATTCATTGATTTAGACCAACGCATGCGACGTGCTCCACCAGCGGCGGGTGCCGCTTGCTGAGTCCGAGAAGACCCAGCCGACACCAAGCCTTCTGGTGGGGATGATGGATGCGGAGGGCTGCTAGGTGGTCGTGCAACACCCCGCGCTCGGCTGGCGGCCCGCATGCTGTCGCGTACAGCGTTATTATTATTATTATTATTATTATTATTGTGTGGGGTATCTATATAGTTTTCTCATCTGGTTGGGATGTATAAATATATAATTATAAACGAAAATGAAAAGATAAACATACAAAAATATCAATAAAATAAAATAAATATGAAAATACATAAATAAATAAAAGCCCAACCAGATGGAAGCCCTCGGCAGGGGAGACCAAACGGCCGAGGGTTAGGGGGAAAGGGAAAGAAACCGGCGGACGATGCGGGCGGTATCGAGGAGCACCGCCTTCTGCATTTGAGCCTGGAGCGGTCCGCCACGTAGTCCCAGCCGCCTCAGATGACCCGAGAGGCTGACTGGGATTAGCCCGTTTGCAGAGACGACTACAGGAATAATTTCGGTCGGCAGACCACCCCACATGTCGGTCACCTCGTGAGCCAGGTCCAGATATTTTGTTTGCTTATCTGTTTCGGCTTTCACGAGGTTCTCGTCACACGGAATGGTAATGTCGACCAAAAATATCCTTGACTGTGCCCGGTCCATCAGCACAATATCAGGCTTATTCGCAAGAATAGTCCTGTCTGTGATGATGGCCCGGTCCCAATAGAGCCTGGCGCGATCATTTTCGAGCACGGCTTCCGGCAAGTACTTGTAATACGGCAACTTCCGATCCACGAAACCGTATTTCAGAGCGAGCTCCTGGTGTAGAATTCTGGCTACTAGGTTGTGCCTGTGCAAGTACTCAGAGTTTATTATTATTATTATTATTATTTAGTGTTAACAAATTATATTTAAATATTTTGTGTGTGTATATGATTAAGCCGTGGTAGCTCAGATGGTTAGCGCAAGCTGTAAATTTTACAGTACGTAACGCGGGTTCGATCCCCGCCGACACCAATTAAATTGTTAATTGCAATTTTAAGTGTTTATTCTATTGACACACTTACTTTTCTTTCTGTTATTTTCTTACGTGTGTACGATTTAGTGTTAACAAATTATATTTAAATATTGTGTGTGTATATGATTAAGCCGTGGTAGCTCAGATGGTTAGCGCAAGCTGAAAATTTCACAGTAAGTAACGCGGGTTCGATCCCCGCCGACACCAATTAAATTGTTAATTGCAATTTTAAGTGTTTATTCTATTGACACACTTACTTTTCTTTCTGTTATTTTCTTACGTGTGTATGATTTAGTGTTAACAAATTATATTTAAATATTGTGTGTGTATATGATTAAGCCGTGGTAGCTCAGATGGTTAGCGCAAGCAGTAAATTTTACAGTATGTAACGCGGGTTCGATCCCCGCCGACACCACTTAAATTGTTAAATGCAATTTTAAGTGCTGATTTACCACGTGCTCGGCGGTGAAGGAAAACATCGTGAGGAAACCTGCATGTCTGAGAAAATTTCGAAGGCATGTGAAGTTCGCCAACACACATTGAGACCGCGCCGCGGACATTTCCTAGCCATAAATACAAAGACAATAGCAGAAAGTAAAAAGTTAAAAAATACTTTTTTAACAATGACAGTCATTAGTTGATCATTAGTGAATGTGATTCTGTTTTCTTAAATTACAGGAAGAAAAGAGCAGAAGGAAGAAATGGGGTGATGGGAAGTAATGAAGAATGAATTGTTATGTGAAGTTTGTTGGAACAAACATATTTTAGTCACGTGTAAATACTTTTAACATTTTGGTTCAAAATGACACAAAATCTAAAAAATATTAGATACATCATCGACATGGACGGATTTTACATTACATATCCTCATAAACATTTTCAATATAGAGAAATGGCTATTCTAGACGTAAAACTATCTAATAAAAATGATTCGTTTATCGATCATTATTTGTTTCAGCCAAGTTATCCTTTCAATTATTTGTCGCCAAAAGACAAAAAAACTGTTCGTTATTGTGAAATACACGTGCACGGCATTCCATATTTTGATGTGACCGAAGAATTAAAATGTGCCTACAAACAAGAGAACATCATTCCCATATTAAATTGGTATATTAGAAATTTGTGCAAAGACGAAGTGATCGCATACAAAGGTGGTTCAACAGAAAAACAATTTTTAAAAATGTTGACGACGAATGATAGAATTTTTAATATTGAAGAATACAAATGTCCAAAATACAATGATTTGGTAAATGTCAAAAATTTAAACAAACGTTATGTGTGTAATAATCATATATTTGCAAAAAATAATCACAAAATTTTACTTTGTTCTTGTGACGAAGTGTTGGGTTTCTTACAAGTGGTTATTACTTGAAAATAAAATTTTAAATTAATCATAAATTTTGTAACTAATGTTTTTGGGAAATCAATCTTTACCAAATCATTGTATTTTGGACATTTGTATTCTTCAATATTAAAAATTCTATCATTCGTCGTCAACAATTTTTAAAAATTGTTTTTCTGTTGAACCAATTTTGTATTATATAGTATACTATAAATAATGTTTTTGGGAAATCAAACAAAATTTATGATTAATTTAAAATTTTATTTTCAAGTAATAACCACTTGTAAAAAACCCACACTTCGTCACAAGAACAATGTAAAATTTTGAGATTATTTTTTGCAAATATATGATTATTACACACATAACGTTTGTTTAAATTTTTGACATTTACCAAATCATTGTATTTTGGAAATTTGTATTCTTCAATATTAAAAATTCTATCATTCGTCGTCAACATTTTTAAAAATTGTTTTTCTGTTGCACCAATTTTGTATTATATAGTATACTATAACTAATGTTTTTTGGAAATCAAACAAAATTTATGATTAATTTAAAATTTTGTTTTCAAGCAATAACCACTTGTAAAAAACCCACACTTCGTCACAAGAACAAAGTAAAATTTTGTGATTATTTTTTGCAAATATATGATTATTACACACATAACGTTTGTTTAAATTTTTGACATTTACCAAATCATTGTATTTTGGACATTTGTATTCTTCAATATTAAAAATTCTATCATTCGTCGTCAACATTTTTAAAAATTGTTTTTCTGTTGAACCAATTTTGTATTATATAGTATACTATAAATAATGTTTTTGGGAAATCAAACAAAATTTATGATTAATTTAAAATTTTATTTTCAAGTAATAAGCACTTGTAAAAAACCCACACTTCGTCACAAGAACAATGTAAAATTTTGTGATTATTTTTTGCAAATATATGATTATTACACACATAACGTTTGTTTAAATTTTTGTCATTTACCAAATCATTGTATTTTGGACATTTGTATTCTTCAATATTAAAAATTCTATCATTCGTCGTCAACATTTTTAAAAATTGTTTTTCTGTTGAACCAATTTTGTATTATATAGTATACTATAAATAATGTTTTTTGGAAATCAAACAAAATTTATGATTCATTTAAAATTTTATTTTCAAGTAATAACCACTTGTAAAAAACCCACACTTCGTCACAAGAACAATGTAAAATTTTGTGATTATTTTTTGCAAATATATGATTATTACACACATAACGTTTGTTTAAATTTATGACATTTACCAAATCATTGTATTTTGGACATTTGTATTCTTCAATATTAAAAATTCTATCATTCGTCGTCAACATTTTTAAAAATTGTTTTTCTGTTGAACCACCTTTGTATGCGATCACTTCGTCTTTGCACAAAATTCTAATATACCAATTTAATATGGGAATGATGTTCTCTTGTTTGTAGGCACATTTTAATTCTTCGGTCACATCAAAATATGGAATGCCGTGCACGTGTATTTCACAATAACGAACAGTTTTTTTTGTCTTTTGGCGACAAATAATTGAAAGGATAACTTGGCTGAAACAAATAATGATCGATAAACGAATCATTTTTATTAGATAGTTTTACGTCTAGAATAGCCATTTCTCTACATTGAAAATGTTTATGAGGATATGTAATGTAAAATCCGTCCATGTCGATGATGTATCTAATATTTTTTAGATTTTGTGTCATTTTGAACCAAAATGTTAAAAGTATTTACACGTGACTAAAATATGTTTGTTCCAACAAACTTCACATAACAATTCATTCTTCATTACTTCCCATCACCCCATTTCTTCCTTCTGCTCTTTTCTTCCTGTAATTTAAGAAAACAGAATCACATTCACTAATGATCAACTAATGACTGTCATTCTTAAAAAAAGGATTTTTTAACTTTTTACTTTCAGCTATTGTCTTTGTATTTATGGCTAGGAAATGTTCGCGGCCCGGTCTCAATGCGTGTTGGCGAACTTCACATGCCTTCGAAATTTTCTCAGACATGCAGGTTTCCTCACGATGTTTTCCTTCACCGCCGAGCACGTGGTAAATCAGCACTTAAAATTGCAATTAACAATTTAAGTGGTGTCGGCGGGGATCGAACCCGCGTTACATACTGTAAAATTTACAGCTTGCGCTAACCATCTGAGCTACCACGGCTTAATCATATACACACACAATATTTAAATATAATTTGTTAACACTAAATCATACACACGTAAGAAAATAACAGAAAGAAAAGTAAGTGTGTCAATAGAATAAACACTTAAAATTGCAATTAACAATTTAATTGGTGTCGGCGGGGATCGAACCCGCGTTACGTACTGTAAAATTTACAGCTTGCGCTAACCATCTGAGCTACCACGGCTTAATCATATACACACACAAAATATTTAAATATAATTCGTTAACACTAAATAATAATAATAATAATAATAATAAGTCAAGGATATTTTTGGTCGATATTACCATCCCGTATGACGAGAACCTCGTGAGAGCCGAAACAGATAAGCAATCAAAATATCTGGACCTGGCTCACGAGGTGACGGACATGTGGGGTGGTCTGCCGGCCGAAATTATTCCTGTAGTCGTCTCTGCGAATGGGCTAATCCCAGTTAGCCTCTCTGGTCATCTGAGGCGACTGGAACTCCGTGACGGACCGCTCCGGGCTCAAATGCAGAAGGCGGTGCTCCTTGATACTGCCCGCATCGTCCGCCGGTTTCTTTCTCT